CCTTCCGCTCAATGTCTAAGCGCCGAAGGAGCAAGCGCTCACTTGCAGCAGTGGCGGATGGGAGACACAGCGAGGGAGAGCGCACGCCCAACGAGCACGAGAAGCACCGCTTTGGCCGGGCCCCGGCATGCCGCCCGTCTCCGGGGGGGGGAGGCCGCGCGAGGCGGGCACGATGGCAGGGCCCGTCTCCTGGCGACCTGCGCGCAGCGCGCCTCCGCCTCCCCTCTTCGAACCAGCCTCGATCTTATCCCTACCCCTAAGATTGACAAGACAAAACAGGCGATAGCAATCTTACGGGTGCGCCCTCGGAACCAGAGGAAATACCTGAGATCGGCATCGAGATAAGGCGATGCCAAGCACGGGGATAAGCATATTCTTCAGCTTGCTGAAGATCTTCCCCCCCCCTGCCGGCGCGGGCACACCTCGGGGTTCGGGAGCCGAGGAACACGAGGCGGCGGAGGAGGAGCTCGAGGATCAAGGAGGACGAGGATCCAGGAAGAAGTGGACCGAGGATCGAGAATCGAGGGGGAGACTCGAAGAAGAAAAAACGGCATAAACATAAACTGTCGGCGCTCCGCGCGGATTCCTTGGATCCGCGCAGGGGCCCCCCTGGGCAGCGCCTCCGGCGCCGCCCCTGGCGCGCTTCGCGCGCCAGGGCCGGGGGGTCCAGGCCAGATCCGAGAAGTCCGCGAAGAGCGCCAACAGTTTATGCTTATGGCTTTTTCTTCTTCCAAGGACGAGGATCCAGGAAGAAGTGGAACAAGGATCGAGGGGGAGAGGGAGCGAGGATCGAGGATGGGGGCGGCCACGACGACGACCTCGAGCTCCGCCGATCTTCACGACCTCGTACCTCGCCCCCCCCCAGGGCCCACTTCGATGCCTCCGATTCGGTTCGGCTCGATCTCGATGGCTTCCGATCCCGATCCGAGCCGACTTTGGATTCCGAAATTTGGTTCCGTTATCTCAATGGAGGCGTCCGATTTCTCATTGCAGGCCCGCCAGACTGGCGATTTCCCCCGATTCGACTTCTCCCGGCTCGGCTGCCGATTTCCGCCGGTCCGACTCATATCCATCGCCGATCCGACTTCTCATTTCGATGCTGAGCTCTCCTCCCCCTCTGCCCCCGCTTTTCGGCCTGATCTCGAAATTGAGAGCTGCCGCAGGGCCTCGTTGTGGCCCTCGGCTCGCAGTGGCAAGAAGCATCGGCTTGTAACCGCGAGGGTACCGATAGGTCGGTGCACCAGCGCAGGTTGCAGTTGGAGACCATGTTCGATTGCAAGCTGCTGTGCTGCCCCTCCAGCCCTCGCCCCCACGCCAGTAGTCTACGACTGGATGGTAAAAGCGCTCGGAACTCGTTGACCTCGGCTCGTTGACCTTTGCGAAGCAATTTCGTTCGAGCCTTTGCGAGGCCCTCTACCCTTGACCCTCGGAGAGCTCGAACCCCGATCTTCTGCGAGGCAACTTCGCTTGACCTCTCTGGAAGAACGTGCTGCTTCCCATCGCCATCTGAGCGACTTCGGGAAGCTGGTTCAACGACGCCGAACTTCGCGCGCAAGCTTCCCGCGTAAGGTCGCGCGTGAGCGCCCTCGCTTCCAGTGCAGCGTGCCACTTTGGCGGCCCGCGTGAGCTGCGGCGTAAGGTCGCTATGCCATCTCGCGTCAGACAAGGTTCCGATCGTCGCTCATCTGAGGGGCCAAGCCCCCCCTGCTACGCTCCCACTATGGTGGAAACCCATGCCAACAAAAACACCCCGCTTGCCTCCAGGATGCCCTGGGTCTCTTGGGCTTCGATGGTTTTGCTGGGGAAAGCTGGACGTTCCCGCACCAGGAACCAACCGATGGACGTCCTGAGGTCTCAGGGTGGGGCGCTTCCTGTGGAAGGCTCCTCGTGGTCGAGCTCCCACTGTGGGGTCGCGCCCTGGCGCGCACTGCAGCGCCTCGTCGCCCGTCTCCCGCCCGTCGCCCCCGCGGCCCAGGGCGCGGCGGACGAGCCCGTGGGCCCCCAGCGGAGGGCGGCCCTGCAGAGGGACGCGCGGCACAGCGGGCTGGACGGGCTCGTGCGGGAGCCCGGGCGGCGCGCCCGCGTCGGGCGACGAGAGCTGCGGTTCCGGGGGCGGCCACTGTCGATTAGACGTATGAGAGTGACCTTTCGCCAGAGTGGCCTCGATGGTGCGGGCCCAATGGGGCCCGATCGCTGACCTCGAGGCGGCAGTGGCGTCTTGCGCGCTTGTGTTTGGCCACCCCGCGGCCCCCCGAAGCCGCGCACCAAAGGTCACTCGTACCCAGGGTCACTCTTGCGTGTAGCCGACACCGGGGGTGAGATGACCAGGGGTGGTTGGATAGCATGGCGGGGGCCATGATGTCTCCCCAGGTTTCATGGCGCCTCTTCTTATGTCAATGCGTCCCGGGCAGCCCCCTGGACCGCGCACATGCCGCCGGCCATGATTTGCGCCCCCCCCCCCCCCCTCTTGGACGCCCCGCTCTTGGACGCTCCCGAGCTACGATGAGGGCATTGGATAAGTCAGGAACCGCTGGACGAGGAAGCCAGGCTCTGGAAGCCAATGGAACTCCCATCTTGCGGTTTGGCGCTGGGTGCCACCGCCGCTCTCGTCAGACCTGGAATCCTCCAGGGTCGGAAGCCTCTTGCGCACATTCCTGAGCGAACGCCCCCCACCGCACATGCCGACGATCAAAGCCAGAGCTCCTCGCGGTGTTCTTGGATGGGCGTTGGGCCCCCCCCTGGAGACGCGCCTCCGGCGCCCCCCCCCTGGCGCGCTGCGCGCGCGCATGGAAGGGGAGTCCACCGTCGATCCGATCAATCCGCGCGGGGCTCCGAGCCGTTATGCTTATTCCGCTTTCTTGGTATTGCTCGGACGTGTGCACTTTTTCTCGGCGGGGATTCTTCAGGAGCATCCTGGATCCGCCTGCGACGAAAAACCCGCGCGAAACCGAAACAAAAAGCACGGGGAAGGGACGTGCGAGCGATGGCCAGCTCGTGTGGCTCTCCCGTGCTCGTGGCACTCGGACGGACGGGTGCATATTTTTGTTGTTGCTCGGAGAGGCCATCGCCAAGACAGCCTCCATGGGCCCTCTTAAGGAGCACCCCGGGCCACCCCGAGGCACCGGGGCGCGCACGAGAGGCCACACACACCACGCACCGGGAGCGGCAGCCCCGAGCGCCTGCGCGAGCCTCCGCCGCCCCCGGCCCCGCCTGGGCCCGGGAGCGGCGCCGGCGCGCGCCTCCCGGGCCAGGCCAGGACAGGCCAGCCACCATTGGGGGAGCCGTGGTCCCTACCCCCCTCCCCCTGGGGGACCCATCGATGTCGACACCCCGCTCGAGAGAGGTCGCCGCTGCGACGGGTTCCCCCTCAGGGGGGGGTAAGGACCACGGCTCCCCCAGTGGTGGCTGGTCGGCAGGAGGCTTGGCATCGCTCGGACGTGTGCATGCTTCCTTCGGCGGGGACCATCGAGGAGCATCCTTGATCATTTGGCGAAAAAGCCACGCACGAAACCGAAAAAAACACAGGGAGTGGACGTCCGAGCGGTGGCCAGGAGGGCGCACGCGCCACACCCCGGGCCCCGCACGGGCCGGGCCGGGAGCGGCGGCCGCGGCACGGCGGGACGGCAGGCTCGCGTCGTGTGGACCGGCGGCGGCCCCGCCAGCGGCGTGGAGCTTTGAAGGCCGCGGGCGACTCGGCATCGTTCGCAGTGGAACTTACCAGCCTGGAGCACATCCCTATCCCTATGTTTGACATCACCTCAACTCGATGCCGATCTTGAGGATTCCCTCAGGTTTTGAGGGCCTATCCCGAAGATTGTCCTCGCTTCTTGCTCGCACATCTTAGGGATAGGGATGCGTTCGAGGCTGGTTAGGAACGGTCTGGGTGTTTCGGGAACGGCCGATCGTTCAAGGGGTTGAACGATCCTCGCGGCGTCAGAGACCAACGCCGAAGTCGGCACGACACGGACCTGACGTACAGGCAGTTCGGCGCCCGGTTGCAGAGGCCGTGGGGGCGAGGGGGGCGGGGCTATCTGGCGGGGCGCTGGGCTCCTTGGAGGGGCCTAGGCGCCTCGTCCGTTCGTGAGAGCCCCCCCCCGCTCGTGGGCTTCTTGGAGGGCCCTCGCGAGAAGCCCCCCCCCCCCCCCCGCGGGAGAGGCCGCTCCTCCCTGGCCTTCGGTGTCAGATCCTGGGAGCCGCGCGTGCCCTCGTAATTTTGAGTCGGGCGTGTCCCTCTGCAGGAGAAATGCTAAAAAATCGCTGAGATATGCAATGGGGAGGACATGTTCTTGTAATTCCTTGGTGGTTGGTGTTTTTTTAATGTTTGTTGACTGTTTCTTAGCTTTCGCCCCAAAACCGCCCGTAGGGGAACATGCCCGACCTTTTTTCAATTCTAGCTTTAGCGTGCACTAGTGGCCACTAGCATCTGGCAGCCGATGATCTAGCGTCAACTCAGCGTCGATGTGCGTTGTTCAGCGTCGAGCAGCGTCGATTTAGCGCCGACTAGCGTCGATTAGCGTCGATTCGCAAGAGCCAACAAGAGGGTATGGGAGGCTCCCGTGAGTTGCCACCGAACTCCCCCGCACCCTCTCGCGCGCCGCGCAGAGGAGTGGCACACCAACAACCCCCGGACGACCAGCCGCAGGGCGTCGTCCCGCAGGAGCTCGTCGACGGCGACCTCCGAGGACGAGGGCGGCGAGGCCCAGGAGGAGCGCCGGCCGGGCTTTCTCGCCCACATGGCCCTCGTCCTCCTGCTCCTCCTCCCTCGCCACGAAGACGCGCTGCATCTCACCCTCGGCGGAAGGCGGGCGAGAGGGAGGAGGAGGAGGAGGAGGAGGAGGAGGAGGAGGAGGAGGAGGAGGAGGAAGATGAGGAGGACGAGGAGGAGGAGGAGGAGGAGGAGGAGGAGGAGGCGGAGGCGGAGGCGGAGGCGGAGGCGGAGGCGGCGGAGGAGGAGCGAGGAGGAGGAGGAGGGGAGGAGGAGGAGGGGAGGGGACGAGGACGAGGACGAGGACGGAGAGGAGGAGGAGGAGGAGGGGAGGAGGAGGAGGAGGAGAGGAGGAGAGGGAGGAGGAGGAGGAGGGGGAGAGGAGGAGGGGGGAGGAGGGGGAGGAGGAGGAGGAGGGGGGAGGAGGAGGAGAGGAGGAGGAGGAGGAGGAGGAGGAGGAGGAGGAGAGGGAGGAGGAGGAGGAGGAGGAGGAGGAGGAGGAGGAGGAGAGGGAGGAGGAGGAGGAGGAGGAGGCGGAGGAGGAGGAGGAGGAGGAGGAGAGGGAGGGGAGGAGAGGAGGAGGAGGAGGAGGAGGAGGAGGAGGAGGAGGAGGAGGGGAGGAGGGAGGAGGAAGGAGAGGAGGGGGAGGAGGGAGGAGGAAAGAGGGATGAGGCAGGAGGCTGGAGGGAGGGAGGAGGAAAGAGGGAGGAGGGAGGAGCGAGGAGGGAGGGAGGAGGAGGGGGGGAAGAGGAGGGGGAGAAGGAGAGAGAGGAGGAGGAGGAGGAGGAGGAGGAGGAGGAGGAGGAGGGGGAGGAGGAGGAGCAGGAGCAGGAGCAGGAGCAGGAGCAGGAGCAGGAGGAGGAGAAGGAGGGCGCCAGGCCCCCGTGGAGGAGGCCACGGACGAGGAGGGGAGGAGGCCGGTTGGGCGTGGGGGGGGCCGGCCCGCTCGCTGCCGAGGGCGGGGTCCGCATGCCCCGGGTTACTGCTGTCGCAAGCTCGACTCGGGGGCGGCCAATTCATGGCGTGGGCCATGATATCTCCCCAGATGTCGTGGCGCCTCTTCTTATTCCAATGCGTCCCTGGCCCCCCCCCTGGGCCGCGCACATGCCGCCGGCCACGATTTGCGCCCCCCCCTCTTGGACGCCCCCCTCTTGGCCGCCCCCGAAATAAAGCTCGACGGGAGGCTAGCAGAAGCAAGAGCGGGCCCCTTCAGGAGACCTCAGCGCTGCCGTGCCCAGGGCTCCAGAGCCGGCCACGCACGCAGCTACTTCATCGAGCATGCGGCGTGGAGAGGACTTGCGCTGGCTGCCGAGGGAAGCGCGGCGGTCGGCGCAGCGCCGGCTCGTGAGGGTTCTGGCGGAAGACGGGGGCACCCTTCGGCGATTACCAAGGGTGCGGTTACGCCGGGGTGTGGTTTGCGATGGGCGCCGCGGGGGCCTGGGGGGCCCGACACTGTCGTCGTCGGGCGTCTGCGGGGCGCGGCGGAGAGCTCCATCGAGGCCCCCGCCTGAGACCCCTAGGGTGCCCCCCCAGGGTGCCAGTTGCAAGCCGCACTCTCTGCACACCACACCCTTTTGGAGCCGCCGAGCCCTCTGCGGCGGGAGCAGCCGACGCGGCACCTCCCCCCGCCGGACCCCGGCGGGGGTCTCCGCCATGGGCGGGGCCTGGGCCGCTGGGGCCCCGCGCGCGCCTGCCCGGACGCACCCCGGACCGGCCGCATGACAGGCGCGCCCTCTGTCAGCAGCTACACTCACACCGTTTTGGCCCACAGGTTCCCCAAAAACGGCCCGAACAGGGCTGCGTAACAAGGCGAGCGCGCTCGCGGAGATGGCTCAGGGGGCGCGCCTCGTGGGGGGGTCCCCCTTCCACCCTCTCGCGGTCGTGCTGTCGGGTCGGTGTATAGAGGCGCGCCTCCCACCCAGCCCAACACAGCCGATGCGCTGAGATGAAGACCATTTGGGGCTCAGGAGGGGCCTCGGATTTCGAGTCGTGCCTCAGCCCTGCAAGCTCGGGAGCTCCAGCGCCGGACACCAGGCCAAGGCCGCGAGTAGACGTGGGCCTATGCACCGTGCAGGTTGCGCCGCACAACTTCCACCGTGTGCTATGCACCGTATGGATTCCACCGCATGGCTTGTGACGAATTGTGTGTTTGCACCACATAGCTTACAGCACATACCTATACGACCACCCTTCGGGTGAGAAGGAAGTTGTGGGAGGGAACCAAGTGACGACAACTGCGGTCATTGTTATGGTTCCGATGCTGGCGATGCGCTCGCGAGCTGGTGACGATGCGTGATGAGTGATGACAGAGCGTGATGGTGACTGTGATGGTAATAACGATGCATGGACGTGATTGTGATGGAGATATGCTTATCGATGCCACTATTGATCGTACCATCGGTCACTCAATCAATCTACCAGTCTCACGATCAATCGGTCTCACGATGCATCTCACAATCGATCCCACGGTCTATCTACCGATCTTACAATCGATCGGTTTCACCATCCATCGGTCTCACGATCTATCAATCGATTGAATTCGCGGGACAAACATCGGGACTACCATCGGGACACCATCGGGATATCATCTGGACACCATCGGGACACCATTTGGACACCATACGGACAATATCGGGGCACCATCGGGACACCATCGGGACACCATTGGAACACCATCGGGACACCATCGGGACACAATCGGGACACCTTCGGAACACCATCGGCACACCATCGGGACACCATCGGGACACAATCTGGACATCTGGACACCATCGGAGCAACATCGGGTCACCATCGGGACACCCCCGGGCTACTGCTGGCAAGCTGGCGGGAGGGCACAGCATCATTTGGTTTTGTTTCGCGTGAGCGACGGGACACCATCGGGACACCGCCGGGACACCGCTGGCCAAACTGGGGGGGTGCACAGCATCATCTGACTCGGTGTCGCCCTAGCAACGGCGGGTTCACCCCTTTCGCCCGCCAGCACGTACGACATGAAATCGAAACCGCTTTCCCGGTGGGGCGTCTCCGTTCCATTGCGATCTCATCCCCCCCATTTCCGACTTTGCACCGCATTGTTTGCACCGCGTAGCTTGCGACGATGTGGGCTTGCACTGCGTAGCTTGCCAAAGGCAGCTTCCGCCACATCTTTGTACCACATGCAGTACCCCACATCGCTTGCGACGAAATGGGTTTGCACCGCGTTGCTTACACCGCGTGACAAAAAGCCACGCAGCTTGCGTCACATACCTCACACCGCACAGCTTGCGACGATGTGGGCTTGTACCAGGTAGCTTACGCGCAACATAAATGGTACCACCCAGCTGGCATCACACAGCTTACGCCGCATAGCTTGCACCCGTTTTGAACCAGGGAGGTCTCTCAAGCGAAATTTGTCACGAACCATGTCAACCCAGGAAAAATTACGAGGACGGTGTAGGCGAATCCCACCCCAATGCACATCGTCGAACTATGTGTGAAGACGTTTCAAGCGAAACCCCAGCCAAACCATACAAATCGTGAACATGTCTCGGGCGAAATCGCGCCCGAATGAGATGCCAGACCAGGAAAATCGTGAGCACACCTCAGGCGAACCCGCACCAGAACCATACTAAACCGAGCAAATCGTGAGGACGTCTCAGGCGAAACCGCGCCGCAACCAAACCGAACCTGGCAAATTGTGAGGACGTCTCAGGCGAAACCGCGCCGAAGCCGAACCGAACCAGGCAAATTGTGAGGACGTCTCAGGCGAAACAGCGCTGACCAAAGTCTCATGCGGAATCGGCCCAAAACATATACATATGAACCAGTGGTCCCCCCGTAGGACGCTTGGTTTGTGTGATTACAACCATGTGTTTGTGTTTAAACTCTACCATCCGTATATAGAGTGGAATTCACATTCAAGAGACCCGCATTCAAATTGAAAATTTGAAAAGACCCGCATTTGAATTATACCAACCGCAGGTCACCCGCAGGTCACCCGCGGGCTGCTTCAGAGGATCATCAGGGTGGGATGGGCTCACGGGGGGGACGCATCGATCCCCGGTCGCCCACGCATCGCCGATATGGGCCCCGTGAGCCCAAACCGCCCAGGAGCGTGCGGTTCGCGATCGCAGGGTCTCGCGCCCATCCCTCGGCGATGCATCGCCGCTTCCAGGTCGATGCCCCCCCGCTCAGCCAGGCACCCCCTCTCCCCATCGTCCCCCCCCCAATCCCAGACATCCGCCGATGTCTTCTTTTCCATTCCCCAGAGGTCCCGACCCCTTCCCCGGGGGTGGATTTTCGTCCCTGATCCGTTTCTAATGATGGCCTCCGAGCCCGAGAACCTGGCCCCCGGAGGCCCGAATGCAGGAAAAACAACTGGATCGAAAAAACCATACCAAGAGGCTCGAGGCATGCCCCTAGGGTTTGCCTAGGGTGCGCAAAATGAATTCAGTCGTCACGAGACGCATTTGATGCGCTCCAATACTAATCATACATGCGTGCCTCGCGCTGGTTATGGGCCGTTCGCACGAATACGCAGAAGCGCAGCTGATCCGTTATCCGTACTGGATATACAATGTGCCTCGCATGACAGATTCGCTTGTCGAGCGATCGATGTGTGTGTGTGTTCCCAGAGATCCAAAGACATACAGTCGGGGCCCTGAAGAAGGAACCATTTTCGTTTGGGAGGGGCTCCGTGCTCCTCGATTGTTTCACGGCTCGCCTCAGGTTTTCTTTCGGTTATCGATGGGAGATTGAATCTTCACTTATGGGGCAAAGGGGCCGCGTTCCTTATTTAGGGTTCCTGAGGTCAACGTCCCGACTCTATCTCTGGGTCTCTGGGGCGGTAGGCAGGGCCCCCCCTACGCGGGCCACCCCCCTGCGGGGGCGGGCGAGGCGGAGGAGGAGCGCAGCTGATCCGTTTTCTGTACTAGATATACAACGTGCCTCGCACGACAGATTCGCTTTTCGAGCGATCGATGTGTGTGTGTTCCCAGAGATCCAAGGACATACAGCCGGGGCCCTGAAGGAGGAACCCTTTTCGTTGGGGAGGGGTTCCGTGTTCCTCGATTGTTTCACGGCTTGCCTCAGGTTTTCCTTAGGTCTTCGACGGGAGATCGAACCTTCACTGATGGGGCAAAGGGGCCTCGTTCCTTACTTAGGGCTCCTTAGGTCAACGTCCCGACTGTATCTTTGGGAAGAGGATGGGGGAGGAGGACGGAGGATGAATGGGCGGAGGAGAAAGAGAAAGGGGAGGAGGAAGAGGATGAGGAGGAAGAGGAGGAGGTGGAGGAGAAGGAGGAGGAGGAGCGGGGCCCTCCACGCGGAGGAGGTAGGCGGGGCCCCCCACGCGGGGGGCTGGGCGCAGCGGAGGAGCGCGCCGCGCGCACGGCGTTCCTCACGCCGGAGACGGTGGGCGGCTTCGTGTCGAAGGCGCGCGCCTTTGGCCCGGCGGGGGCCGCCGCGGCCAGTGCCCGATGGCTGCAGGCATCGAGTCGGACGTGTCCCCCTCCACAGGGGGAACGCTGAAAACGAGGCAAAGATCATATGGGGACGGCTCTTCGACGACGGCTATTTCTGACTAGATTTGGGGGCTTATCTTGTTCTTCTTCCAGAATCCGCCTGCATGCGGACACGCCCGGCCCAATGCAGGCCGCCCGTGTGCGAAGGTGTGCGCGCGCTGTTAGTGGTGCTCGAGAGGAGGAATGGGTACCCATAATTACCCTTATCCTTGGCTCGCTTTCAGCCTCGTGGGAGGCCCTCGTCGCCACCGCTGGATCCACCTCGAAACTCTGGTCAAAACGCATTCTGGGAGAGGTCCCGATTCTCGCCGAAAATAAAGCATGTGTTATTTGACCCGCATAGTCTCAAGTGTGTGTGTGTTGCCCAGACGACGTAGCCATCGGGGCTGACAGCCATGATGGTTCTCTTTAGCCTCGAGCTGCCGATGTCGCCGCAGACCCAGAACCGGTGACACAGCAGCCGCCCCCGAATGCTGGTGCTGGCGAGCGGATGTTTATCTATGATCTGCTCCCCCCGTGCCTTGTACGCATCGCAGCACCAAGGTGCCATCGCCCATCGTGCTGACACACGCCGTGCACTTACGTTGCTGAGGCCTCATCTAGGCCCATTTCCTTGATCGGACCATCCTTCATTCCACCAGTGATATTTTTGATTCAGCTTGTGGACCAGTGGCGCGTTGCCTGGTACATGCGCTCCCCTTGAAAAAGCGTGCCCGCTGGCTATCCAGCCCCCGCTGCGGCATTATTCCATGCTAGTGGAGGCAAACCGTGTGTCGAATTCCGCTCCCCTCGCCACCAGCATCACGGCGGAACAGTTGCGCGCTTCCCTGCGCGTAGTTTGCGTCCTACTTCGCCAGCTGAGCGGCTTGCTACATTGCTGGTGAAAGGCTGGCGGCACACATTGTCTCTGTCGGCCGCGTGACGCGCAACTCGGCAGCTTATGCATGACGCTGCGCCAGGGTCGCACGAGTTTCGGTGGCTCTCATCGCCTCGTCGGCTCCGCACTCTTTCAGCATCCGCTCACATCCCTTTTTGTTCGTGTGTCGTTGGTTCTCCCGTGCCGCTACCTCGGAGGTCGGCTCAGTATGGACAACCGTGTTTGTACAGTTGTCGGTGTTTCGTTTGTTCTCGCGGTGTGTGCGTGTGCGTGTGCGTGTGCGTGTGCGTGTGCGTGCGTGCGTGCGTGCGTGCGTGCGTGCGTGCGTGCGCGCGTGTGTGTGTGTGTGTGTGTGTGTGTGCGTGCGTGCGTGCGCGCGCGCGTGTGTGTGTGTGTGTGTGTGTGTGTGTGTGTGTGTGTGTGTGTGTGTGTGTGTGTGTGTGTGTGTGTGTGTGTGCGCGTGCATGTGTGTGTGTGTGTGTGTGCGCGCGTTGCCACTTTATCCAGTGCCCTTCGGCCGATCCCGCCACCGCCGTGCCTGAGTCGTGGATGCAACTTGGAGGGCTCCTGCGGGCCTCCTTGGGGGCCTCTGGGGGCATCCGCCAGACAGCACACTCGCATGAGCCTTGGAGCATTTCACTCTGTTCTGAAGTGTCGGATGCCTGGCCCCTTGCATGTTATGTTCCTCCCCTGCTTTCCGCTGGCGTGCGCGACGCAATGCGAAGACACCCTCGCTGGCAGATTGCGGCGCGCCGCGCCGACCTGGACAAATCCTTGACGTCGCAGGCATGGGTCCCCCTCCGCCCTGTCAGCGCCAAACAACGTCTGATAACTTTTGGACCTCTCCCGAACACATTTTGAAAACCAGCGGAAGGCCCGAAAACCTGCATTCTATGACCCCGACCTCCCCCTTGTCTCTCTCGCTCTCTCCCTCTCCTCCTCGGCCTTCAGTGCCAGGTGCGTACTGGCCTCATGATGTGCCGCCAGGAGGGCGTTAATGACCTCTTCCAGCGCTACGACCTGTTCAACTCGGGGGTGCGCCCTCGTTAATTGTAACCTAGGAGGTGGAGGAGGAGAGGGTGGGCTGACAAGGCTCGGTTGGTGCTTCGCAAAGGCAACCCCATGAGGCAGCATTGGCTTGCCAAGCAGGCCTCGGGGGAGTCCTGGGCGGTCTTGTGCGCAGCCGCAAAGCCTGACAACGCAGGAGCGGGAGGATGACAGGCACGACGACATGGCGGCGTGGACCCGGTTCAGAACACAGCGGTCTGGAGGGTTGGCCATTCTTCGTCGCCGAGCTGCTCACGCATCCCACGAGTCCCCCGATGGCATCCGCACCTCAGCGACCCCGCGTACACTCAATCCGCATAGGAAGGATGGGCAACCCTCCCAAAGGTACGCTTGCATTCTTGCCTCCTCGGCTCATCCTGAGCGACGTTTGCTGGCCAGCCTCGTTCGAAAAACGTTGGCATGGGCCTCCAAGGCCCTGGCATCCTTACCGCGCATCCTTATGATACGGGCGGGCTGTATGCGAGCGCTTCCTTCCTCTCGACGAGCAGGCGTCCCCCGTATTGCCGATGCCGCTTCCGCGGCGCGCAGGCGCCGTGGCGGGGAGGGCGGCGGGGGCGGCCTCCCGACAGTGGGCCGCAGCCTTCGATGAAGGAGGCCTGGGGCGCACGGCTTCCGAGCGGCCCCGTGTGTACGCCGTGACGTTTGGTCGGCCAGGGTCTGGTTGACCCAGAAGGGGGCCCAGCGAAAAGGGGGTGGTGCAATAAATCTGGTGCAATCGACATGTGGGGTTGCAGTAGATTTGGGGTGTGCAATACATCCTGGTGCGCCAATGTATTGTTGGTTTTTCGCATGCAACGCATTCGCTGCAATTCAATGCAGTACAACTCCCTGGCGCAGTACATTTGCAATACAATTGCCCCACATCTATTTCACCACCCCCTTTCAGCTGGACCCCCTTTCTGCGTCAACCGAACGGGGGGCCGAGAAGTTCGACGCAGGAAGATCTGGTGCATGCGACGCTCCAGCGTCCCACGATATCGGCAGCTGCGGCGCCTGTGCACCGAGCTCCTCTGCCGGGCGAGCGGCGTGGCGTATTCTGCAGCGAGTCCCTCCCAGGGCGGCGGCGGCGGCGGCCTTCCGCGAAGGCCGCCGCCTCTGGCGCAGAAGCTGTGGCGCGCACGGCCTCCAGGGGGCCGTCCCCTCCCGAGCACCCCGCCGCCTGGAGCCGGCAGGGGGTCTGAGGTGGCCCAGCACCCGTTCCAGCAGTGGTGCCTCTGTAGGCCCACCAGAGATTGCTCTGAGGATTTTTGTGTTGCGGTTTCCGGGGGATGTTCTCAAAGCAGTTCTTGCCGAGGCCGTCTGGCTTTGATACCTCGGCCTTGTGTTCCATGAGCGTCGTTGCTTGTTTGGGGAACTTTCTCTTTGCTCCACGAACGTGTCCTGGCAGGCCTGTAGGAAGGCGGGAAGAGCGGGTCCGTTTCGTCCTTTTTGGACCTCCTGGGGGCTCCTTGTCGCGACGGCTGTGCGCGCCTCGAAACCCTTTCGCCCTTGGACCCCAGGAGGGATCTGGGGACCGCTTTTGACAGTCTATGGCCTCTTGGCCGATTTGTTCCCCCTTTACGTACAGTCAAGACGCTGAAATTAGGACTAGTTCTGGGTCGGCGGAGAGCCTGGGGGGGGAAGTGAGAGGGAGACGGCCTTCTCAGAAGGCTCGGAAGTCCCCCCGCCTTCCGAGACGCCTCCGAAGCCTTCCCCGCAGACGCAGAAAGCCGCTTAGTCTAGGCCTCCCAGACAGGATCCGAGCAGGTGGGGTCGGAGGATCGCGCCGTATCGTCGTTGCATCGGCGACGCGGCTCGATGTGGAGCCCGATTCTCTACACGCTGGCGTCGCCGATGCATGGCCGACGTCGCCGATGCTGCGGCGGTGTATCGCCGCTGTAGCGGCGGTGCGGCGCGATCCTCCGACCCCGTCTACTCCGACCCCACCCAGGAGGCCTCCACCCCTCCTGCGTGGCCACCAAAACAAGCAGACACTGCTGGGCCACTCGGCGGCGTTCGAAGCAATGCTGCAATCCAGTCCGCTGCGGCTCCTGGGGAAGAGGAAAGAGGAGGCGGAGGAGGAGGAGGAGGAGGAGGAGGAGGAGGAGGAGGAGGAGGACGACATTAGGACACAAGGAGCAACGCTCAGGCCAGCCTGCAATAGAAGGCGCGAGGGCTTCTAAGAAGCCCCGCCCTTCTGAGATGACCTTCTCCTTCTCACTTCCCCCCCTCGCTCGCCGCCGATCCAGCGCCTCGCCCGTCGTCGTCGTCGTCCTCGTCTTCGCCCACCGCCTCCTCCTCGTCCTCCTCCTCCTCCTCCTCCTCCTCCTCGTCCTCCTCCTCGTCCTCCTCCTCCTCCTCCTCCTCCTCCTCGTCCTCGTCCTCCTCGTCCTCGTTCTCCTCGTCCTCGTCCTCGCCCTCCTCGTCCTCGTCCTCCTCGTCCTCGTCCTCGTCCTCCTCGTCGCCACCTGCGCTCGCCGCCGCTTGGGGCCCGGGAGGGGCTCTGGTGCCCTGCCGCTCCCCAGAGAGATTTGGGTCGGGGAACCGCCGCGCCTCCTCCTCCTCCTCCGCCTCCTCCCCCCCGCCTCCTCCTCCTCCTTCCTCCTCCTCCTCCTCTCCTCCTGCCCTCCTCCTCCCTCCTCCTCCTCCTCCTCCTTCTCCTCCTCCTCCTCCTCCTCCTCCTCCTCGTCCTCCTCCTCCTCCTCCTCCTCCTCTTCCCTCCGCCTCCCCCTCCCCCTCCCTCTCCTACCTGTGGTAGTGGTGGTCGAAAATCGGCCCATCATGTCTCAGAGGGAGGAAATACCACCCCGGCCCAGGGCGTTTACCAAACAGCCCCTTCATAGACCCTTCGCGATGTGAAAAAGTCACGACGGGAGGTTTCCCGCTACTTTCTGTCTCCAGAGGCCCCCACCGGGCCTCGGGACCGTCCAAAAACGACCCAGGATGAAGAACCGGTCCCGGGGAAGGTGTCCAGTAATTTGGGGTCGACGTCGCGAAAAACACACGACGTTCCCTGCTTGATTCTTTTCCTAGGTGCGTTTGCCAAACCGCTTCGCTTGTTGCTGTGCTCGTTCTGAGGGTGGACTTTCTGCTCTCTAATGTCAGCTCGCATAGTGCGGATGAGTGCAGCCAAGACGCTGAAATAAGGAGCAAGTTGGATTCGGAAGGGGCTCGACATTCCTTAGGTTCCTCGAGTTCTGTTCCTCTTGCCCTTCTGGGGCACGGAGGCGCTTACAGGGCCGAGAAGGGGCTTCGTTCCTTATTTAGCGTTCCTTCTTTCAGCAGCCCGACGGTAATTTTCCTAGGTTGCCCTTGCATCCTTCCCCTTTCGGCACATCCGTGGCCACTTTCGCTGGCCGCGCCCCGCTCGCACAGCGTCGACGCATGGCCTTCCAAGGCCCCCTGCGTCTTCTTCACCGTGCGCCCGTGCTGTACGGGCTTTGGCTGCCTTGCCCAGCGCTGCGTGTGGTTACGCAGAGCACGCTGGCTGCAGCCAGCCCTACAGCCAAGCCGCACAGCAAGGATGCACTGCCCTCCCAGGGGTACCCCCTGCATCCTTGCCCCCCTCGGCCCATCCTCAGCCGATGTTCACTGGCCAGCCTCGCTCGAAGAACGCTGACGTGGCCCCCTCCTCCTCCTCCTCGTCCTCCTTCTCCTCCTCACCCCTCACGCCTCCCTCCTCCCTCCTCCCCCTCCCCTCCAATGGAGTAGGTCTTGGCTGTTTTGGGCGCCTGTTTCGAGCAGTTGGAGTCTCTCCCCCATAGGACGCACTGCTGCAAGCAGTCGCGTCAAGCAGAGGTGCAGAGCCAGACCCCCCCCCCCCTTTCCCCCCCCCCTCCCCCCCCCCTTCAGCCCAATGTCGAAGCGCCGAGTATGAAAACGCTCGCGATAGGGGGGGCTAGGCTCGGGGGGGGATGCATCGACCCCAAGGGCAGCGTTGGATCGGGGACAGGTTCGGTTTTCGAAAGGTTTGTGGGCATCTTCGTTGGTTCCCGTCGGCCTTCCAGCCTCGGGGAGCCTTCCAGCGGCTGCGTTCCGCCGAAGGCTCTCCGGGAGTGCCCAGATCGTCCTGAACGGTGAGGGATGCGCCGGCCACCGCGAGCACTCCCCGCCGCGTCCTGCCTCACGGGGGTTGGCCCAGCTTCTCACCACCTTGGCGGATGGCCCAGCGTTGGTCTCATCGCCCCTTGGCCACAACCTTGGCTGCAGAGGCGGAGGGCAGCTCGGCTCCGATTGACAGCATCGCTTGCGGCCGCGGTCTCTCCCATCCCCACGAGACCCGCCCGTAAAAGTCGGCCACGCGCAGAGGGGGGTGGGGGGAGGTAGGAGGGCTTCTCAGAAGCACCCCTGCTTCTTAGAAGGCGCGGGCTCTATCTATAGATGCAAGGCCGGCGCCTTCCAAGACGCAGCCCCCTCCTCAGAAGCAGCCTCCTCCTAAGAAGCCTTCCCCTTGTGCGCGCCGCCAGAAAAAAGGGAGCGCCCGATCGCCACGCTTCCTGCGCGGCGCTCCGCGCTGCCCTCTCCTGCGGCCACGGCCGCGGCCTCGGAGAAAAGGGCCTCGTGCACCCAGGTGCCGGGAGGGGGAAACACACACACAGACCTTCTTACTCGACGATTCCCAGGACATGTTAGAACATATGGGAAGTGGGTGCGGGGACGACCTCCGAAGATGTAGGATTGTGGAAGGCGATTAATGGAGAGGAAGCAAGCTGCCACATAATTTCCAGATGTCTATAAATGTTTCAACCAGGTTCTAAATATATAACAAATGTTGGACACATGTTTAGAGCATATTCTACACATTTTAAGCACATGTTTAATTCAATGATAGGATTGTTTGAGTGTCCATTGTCATGGCATCCACAAGTATAGGAGAATGTGGGAGATCCTGGGATTTGCGTGTCTTTGTTCGTGTGTCCCTGGGCCCCTTCAAGGTGCTGGACCTGAACACCGTCTTCGACATCCTGGCGGACCGGAAGCTCATGCCGAAGGACGCCGAAGTCCGCAGTCCGCGGTCCGCTGCGCCGCCGCCCCGGCCCTCTGCGCGCTGCCGCCGTCCTGGCGCACCAGCCTGCCACCGGGCGCCCCACGGAGATTTCACACTTCCCGACGGCCCCGGGGACCCAGCGAAGCTGGTGAGCTTCCCGCGGAGTCTGACATCGACAGAGCCACCTTCCCGAGGACTCCGACAGCAAGGCGTAGCTCGCGCACGTCCCTCTACAGGAGGAATAGATCATCAACGAAAAGTCAGGGGACGATGTTGTTATTGTTTTTATATGTTTGTTTTGGGGTATTTGTGTTTTTTCGCCCGAAATCCGCCTGTAGGGGGACACGCCCGACATAACGCAAGGTTTATTGTCACCGTGTTTCTATCCTCTGGCGATCATGGCCGTGACCGGGGGGGGGAGGGGGTCTGGATATTGGAAGGAATCCGATGGATGTCCCTATTGCCTTCGTCAGGAATCCTATGAATTCCCTTTCAGGAGTCTGATTTATTTATAAGAAATCGCATGGAGTTCATCCTGTGGGTTTCCTAAGGGCTCCTGTGGACTTCCTGCAGAACCCCATGGGGCCAGGGACGTCACGAGTCGCGCCGCCGCCGTCTGGGAGTGTTTCCGAATGGCTGATTCCCAGGCGGCGCCGGCGCGAGTCGTGGCGTGCCTGGGGGGGAGAGCAAAGGGGGCAGGGTGGGGCTGCTCACGGGCGTCATATGCAAGACAGGGTACAGTGGAAACCCATGCCAAAAAATACCTTGCTTGCCTCCAAGGTGCCCTGGGTTGCTTGGCTGTCGATGGTTTTGCTTTGGCACACGTGACGTTCCGAGACCAAAAATCCATGGAGGTCCTGGGATCTCAGGGTTGGGTTTCTTGTGGATGGTGTCTTGTGGTCGAGCTCCTACTGCACGTATGCACCCACTCTGTCATCTAGTCCTTGTGATCCCCCCTTCCATCTTCTGCCCGCCCTGGCCTCCCGCCCGCGCGCTCCTCGTCTGCCTGCGCCTTCGCTCTCTTGCTCACTCCCCTGTTGCCGAGCAGCACGGCCTGCCTGGAGCCGGCGTCGCGAAGAGATCGCGCTGGTGTGCCAGACTGAAATCGGACATGTCCCTGTACAGTAAAAATCTTCAAGAAAAGGAAAACAATAGTATGGTGACGATGTTTCGTGATCTTTTGACTCTATTGTTTTTTGACTTTGAAGAATTGTCTTCCAACATGCACCTGTAGGAGGACATTCGAGTATAGCCGAGACCCCGGATAAGGGGACCTCGTTAGTGATAGGGCCCCGAAGCCCCCTAGATAGGACAGACTCACTAAACCATGTCTGCCATAGCTGGTGTTCTTCGGGTGACGGCAGTTCCGGTTTGTGGAATGGGGCGGGGGGGGCGTCCCCCGGCACAGTTGCACGAAACCAGGTCCCACTAAACCCAGTCCTGCCAACGCCCGAGACAGAGACATGCCTGAACTAGACTGCGTGTTCCTCTCCCCCGCACCTGGGACTTCATTGGCCTCCATGGCCCGAGGCCGCCTGCGCGCTCTTCACGCCGCAGACATTCTGCGGCGCAGGCCTCCCCTTGGATCCGACGTCGTTGCGAAACGTCCGCAGCATCGTAAAAATCACGACTTAGATCCCAGACTTCGTTTTTCTGTGTAATTTTTTGGTCGGGGGTGGACAGACCTCCCCTGACACGTCGATCAGTGAATTGTCCGTGTCCGGTTCTCGAGAGGGCGCCGCGGCCGTCAGTTTCCAGGCTCGCGCCCGCCAGGTTTGGGCCCGAGGTCGCTTTCACTAAACCACGTTCTGTGAAAGGGGCTTCTGCCCATGCCCGATTTTGAACCGGATCGATCTGCGAGGGTCTTGGGGCCCGAAGCTGGTCGACTGGGCGTAAGAGTGACCTTTCGCCGGAGTGACCTTTGGTGCGGGCCAAATGGGTTCCCCCGGTCGCCGAGCGCGGTGCGATCGTAGCGTCCTGCGCGCTTGTGCTTGGCCTCCCCCCCCGCGGCGCCCGAAAAGCCGCGCACCAAAGGCCACTCTCGCTCAGGCTCACTCCTGCGTGTGGCCGAGAAGCTGGGGCGGAGGCGCCCAGCGTGAAACGGTGGCCACGCCGGGCTCTCGGGGCAGAAGCCTTCGGCGGCCGAGGCCCCCCCCTCGCTCCTCCTCTCGGGGGTCCCCAAACGGGGTGGTGACCACTCGGTGGGCATCCGGGGTCACCGCACGGTTTTGGGACTCGCGTCGTTCTTCGAGGACGTCTCGGGCGACAGGGGCCTCCAGGGTCCCAAGACCGTGCGGTGACGGACCTCCTACCCTGACACGTCGATTAGTGAATTGGCCGTTTAGGGTTCGCGAGAGGGCGTCGCGGCCGTCCTTTTTGCGGGTCCAGGTCCGTCGGTTTCGGTCCCAGGCCGTTTTCACCAAGGGGGAGGTTTACTAAAGGGAGGTGTGTCCACCGCCGATCTTCTTTTGCACCCAGTGTGCCACTGGCGTGGTGCGCCCCGTCGGCGGTCGAAGGCGCCAGCGATCGCCAGCTTTGCGGGCCGAGCAACGTTTTTTGAGTCGGGCGTGTCCCGCTACGGGAGGAATATTCAAAATAGTTAGAAAATAGGATGGGGACGATTCTCTTAATTATTTTCAAATATTTCTTATATGTTGCCTGCATTTGTTTTTATTGTGAAGGCCTGACGGCCAGCGCCGCCGACCCTGAAAGACATCGACGACGACCAGGAGGGGGAGGAGGAAGAGAAGGAGGAGGAGGAGGAGGCGGAGATAAGGAGGAGGAGGAGAAGTAGGAGGAGGAGGAGGAGGAGGAGGAAAAGGAGGAAAAGGAGGAGCAAAAGGACTCCCCCCTGGGCCCCCCCGCATGGGTAGGAGGAAG